ACAGCCAGTCAGTGGCAAGAGACCTCAAATCCTTCATGGATATGAAAGCAAGAGACCATCGGGAGTTCCCGATTCATGTCGAGTGTTCGCACGACTTGACGTCGACGCTCATTGTTTCCAAACCACAATGCCAGGAGGGCCCGATTGGTCTACCGTCTGGCACCGAGTCACAAGAAACCATGCAAACAATGCAATCATTGAGAGTGGAGTCATGACAACAGACCTCCCACCAGAGATACTCAATGGAGCATTACCACACAAGATGGACATTGTGACAGAACTGTGGTACGAACCAGAGGCAGCACCACCAACACCAGGCACAGCATCAGCATCAGCATCAGGTATTCGCAGACCACGCGAACCTGAACCACATGGAGAAAAGAGAGAGCATGAAGAACAACATGAACCAGCAGGATCACCCACAGCAAGCCAGAGTAGATAGAGACAAGAAGAGAGAGGCAGAAGGCGAACATGAAGATGAAGCTGAGAGAGCAAGAGACATCCAGAGCATCGAGATGGCTCTAGAAAGCCTAATCCTAGAAGATAGAGAGAGAGTTCTATCTAGCATCGACCCAGAGAAACCAGTGTGTGAAGAGAAGATCCCACTGCCAGAAGAAATGGCAGAAGAGGCAAAAGACTGGTGGTACTATGATGACATCAGTGGAAAGGAGCTTCTACCTGAGAAGATAGAGAAAGCCAGGAAAGATGAGATCGACATTGTCGAATCAATGGGAGTTTGGGAAAAGATCCCAAGAAGCAAAGTTCCAAAAGGAACCAAAATCATTGGAACTCGATGGGTAGATGTGAACAAGCAAGATGAAACCAATCCTCTCTATAGAAGCCGATTGGTGGCACAAGAAATCAAAAGAGGCTCAGGTTTTGACGAATTTTTCGCAGCCATGCCGAGCCTAGCAGCTTTGAAGCTACAGCTAACCATTGCAGTCAGCGACAGCCTTCCATTGGAGAAAGGCGAGAAAAGAAAGACAAAGCAATCTTTTCTAGGATTTTTAGATGTGAAAAGAGCTCATTTCTACTCCAAGGCAACAAGAGAACTCTATGTTGAGATTCCATCTGAAGGCAAGAAGCCAGAAGATGGAGATGTGGTAGGAAGATTGGTCACCAGAGACGCACCCATGAACTGGGAGCTGACCATCCCAGAGTTCATGAAGAAACTAGGATTTTTACAAGGAAAGTCAAAACCATGTATCTACTCCAAGGGAAAAATTATACATTCATAAAGAAACCAGTAAAGATAGTTATATCATTTCTTCAAATATTGTGGGAGTAAATCATACAACTTTTAGAAATGATGACCCTAACGGTGAAATACGATTTTCAACTAACGGCACTAATAAAATGTTTATCCGTCATTCTGATATTCAACGTGGAAGCGGTGTAATACTGAATGGTGATGTAAATGACACTTCCGATAAAACTAAAAAATATGGTATTAAAGATGCCGAATATAATTATACCGAATTAGTCAAACAGATAAAACCTGAAACTTTTAGAACGACAGATGAAAAAGAATATTGGGTTTATTGCTGATGATATACTCCCTGTATTGCCCGATGATGTTGAAAATATAGTTAATGTAAATGCAGAAGGTATTAAAACGCTACATTATATGAAATAAAATGCTTTCCTATGGGGATTTAGAAGCAACAATGTTTGAAATGATGGAAGAAATAAAGGAGTTGAAAGGAAAGAAAAAACCCAAGGCAAAAGCAAAAACAACTACATAAATATATAAAAATATCTAATGAAGTTATATGGGTAATAAGGGAACTAAAGTCGAAAATACTTGTATTGAAGAATTAACAAACATAAATGAAAATGATTTAGATAAGCAAAAGCGATAAAATAGAGCAACAATAAAATCGAGGAAATTGACGATAAGAAGTCTGATAGAATAATGTATAAACTACCTGCTATAAACCTGTGCTCTTATTCACTGATTTAATCATATTATGTTTATACAATAATATTATTGAATATGAATTTCTTTTTCTAATCTTATCATAAAAATTTTGGTAATATCTGCTGCACGGAGTTTTACAAAAACAAAAATGAGTAAGGTTGGTCTTCAGTTGCTAACTTGTAAATGTCATATACAACTTTCTTATCAACCAGCGCGGACTGCTCTTGAACGAAAGCATCAACTTCAGCCATATTTTTTTAGTTTGAAAATGTATTGGGATGATGTATTCAACCTAACTATCGGTGCTAGTGCGTTATACTTTTGTGAAGCTGTTATCACAGATAAACCGAAATGCCTACTTTTAGTATAGAGACCATGGAGGATTTTTGAGTATCTCATAAATGTCTTATCTTCTGCAAAGTCGTCGATTACCAACAGGCAACTATACAATTTTTTCATCTTGTTCTTCTTCTGATATTCTATGACTTTATGCTGTGTATCTATGATATGACTCAATGCTTCAGGATTATACTCATCGTATAAAAACTGTTCTTTTTTGTTATCTACTTTTACTGTAAGTCTTTTTCAATATGTTTAATAACTTCTTTGTAGGCTTCATCAATATGGGCTGTCGGTGATACGATATAAATACGCTCAAAGCAGTCCCTGTAAATCTTCAAGACTAGATTTTGGATAAGAATACCTTTCCCACCCTGTGAGGCACTAACAATGATACTTCTAAAAGGCAACTTATCAGCTTGAGGATATGGCGTATATTTAAGAAATAGATCTATAATATATATTGTAATGGCACATCTTATCTTGCTGAGTTTGGGGTCGCGGGATTTGGAACAGATGCCATATACCCGTCATAAGAACCCCGAACAGTTAATTCATTCATCGTCTCCTTTTCAAAGCAATTGAAGTGAATTTGAATTCGTTTTCCTTCTGCGTCCCCAACATTTTCGCCCTTCTTGCATAGTTTCCATAATATAATTAGATTGTATTATTGTATCATCTGGATGGGTATGAACTGTATGAAGATGCCATAAATGAGATTGAAGAAAGAATTGAAGACGATGCTAAATATCCAGTTGTTAAAGATAGTAAGATTAAATTGATTTGTCATATATTTTTGAACTTCATCAAATTACATTTGACTATATAAGATACAATGCCACCAAAAAAGAAAAGCAGTAAATTTAAGAAAGAACCAATACCTGAGGATTATGAATTATCAGATGATGAACCCAATATTGTAAATTTAAGCAAGGAACAAAAATTAACAAGTAAACATATTATCTTTGACTGTCCGCTTTGTAAATGTAAATTGCAGGTGAGGAATGAAATAGAAATAAACCCCAAAGGTATAACTTGTCGCTGTAATCCCTGTTCATTTGAGCTAACAAAAAATGACAAAACAATGAAGTAAGTAAAGATGATGATGGAGGGATTACACTGGAGAGTCAAGACCACAGTATCAGTTTCTCATGGAATAGAAGTACTACTCCTCCAACACAAGATGAAAAACATAGAAATGATATGGTAAAAGATGTAATGAATACACCAACAAATACACATAAGAAATTAGATTATATGGATTAGTATTTAAAGGGTAGTTTAGTATTTATTAGTATACATTAGTATGGATAATAGACCTGAAAGAAAACCACGAAACTACAAAAATGGCAAAATCTATTGTATTAGAAACCATATTGACGGACGAATTTATGTAGGGAGCACGTGTCAAAGTTTGAGCAAAAGAATGGCTTACCATAGGCAAGATGCTAAAAAGGCAAACAGACACAATACATTGATATATCCCTTAATGTTAAATTATGGTCTGGAGCAGTATTATATAGAACTAGTTGAGGAATACCCCTGTGAAAACTCTAACCAGTTAGAAAAAAGAGAAGGTGGAATAACTAGAGAAATGAAAGCATCTTTGAATATGAAAGTGTCAGGAAGAACAAAGGAAGAATATAAAGTTGAAGAAGCAGATAAAAATTTAGACAAAGTAAATCCATACGAGGTAAAGGATATAGGTAAAACAACCCAGAAAAGGTTAAGGAACGAAGAAAACTAAACTATTGGAAAGACCCTGAAAAATACAAGGAGCAGGCAAGGAAATACAATGAAGAACAAAAAGAAGAAATCAGTAGGAAAAACAGAGAAAGATACTTGAGGAAAAACAAAACTCCCTGAATGATTTAGAATAGAAATTATTTGAAAATGTATTATTAAATATTCAAATAAAGATTTAGAAACTTCTAATTTAGTTTATATGAGCCCTCAGGAAGTTGATTAAAATTTGTTAAGCAATATCTACGAGCACACCCAAAAAAACAGCAAAATGTTATCTGCAATACTTTGGAAACTGAATGAACTGCCAGATGGAAAAGATGTAAGAACAGCAAAAGAAGATGGAGGAAATGTTTGAAAAAAGGGGCGTAGGTAAGCCCAGAGGCACTTTTGAGGGAAAACAAAAACAGTACTTTGAAATGGTGAAGGCTGGAAATATTAAAAACCCCGTAGCCAAAACTTTAGAATATTACCATATTATGAGAGATGAAAGGGGTGAATATATTATAAACCTTTTGCCAAAATAGTTTGATAACAAAATTCCAAACATATTGTTATGAAATTTTGCTGAAGAGCTTTTGCTCTCACACCTTCCCCTTCCCATACTCCCAGCAACCCAGCATACTCAACAACAACACGCAAACAAACATCCCCTCCCACAGGGTGTAAGATGGGCAACTCCACTGTAGTAGGCAAGCAAAGCTTGCACAATGGCAAAATCGGAATGCGCTGCCAAAAATCATGAGACAGCTTCATGAGTAGATTGGCGCAGGTTCCTGATGGCTAGTGTTCAAAGACGTTTTGTCAATGAGGTTCCGAAATCAACATCTATGAATCTACAGATACTTTAGAGTTTCATTCACTTTATGCGCTGTTCCTTCCAATAGCTCGTGGCAGTCTCTGGGGCTGACATCATCCAAAGGTTGCAAGACATATTGGTTCAAAGTCCCACATAGTGTTTGTGGAAAGGCGCGCGATGGCGCTACGACTTTGCCGCATGGCGAAGATGTGCTCGGGCGGTGTCATGACAGAGACACGCCTGGACGTTCTACTTCTTAGTCCCCACCTGAGACCGCCAATCAGCCAGCTTTACTTGCGTGAAGCCACTGGCTTTTATGCTAGCCGAATTCACTATTTCAAGGGAAAGAACTGGCAGATACGCAGCTTGAAGGACGGACCTGGCTGCTTCTTCATCGTGCCGGTCATCGTCAATACGGGGGGCAGCGCTTACAATCGCCCCATCGTCAGCGACGTCCTCCTGAAGCACTTCATCCCGAAGTTTGACCGAGCCATTTGGGGTGAGAAGAGCACCAAGGGCAAAATTCACCTCCCAACCCCTTTAGGAGACGATTTTAACCTTGGAGCGCAAGGATGGAATGATGCAAGGGAGAAGGACTGCTGTTTGCATGTTTTTCAAGGCATATGGCTGGAACTTCCGAACTTGCATTTGGTCATTGCAATTTTGTCTTGCCCTGCAGGAGCTGGACAACATGGCAAAGGAGGAAGCCATTATGTACAACTTGGTGGGGCACGAGTTGGCAAATGTGATTGTCCAGTGTGATGGCTTGGCTGGCAATCTTCAGGCTATGAGGGAAGACAATGAGCGCGAAGACTTCCTGCATGAATACTACCAGAAGACGGTAGAGGCGACTGCAAAGCGCTTCAAGCATGTGGGCGCAACTGCGGATGGCATCAAACGTGAAGTGGAAAGCATGATGCTTGACCCGATGACAGATTGGGGAAAGAGTTCCTTGCCTGTGCCGGCGCACTTGTGGAAATTTTCCGCCCAAATAGCCCAAAAGTGGCTGACGGGGCTGACCCGTACAGGCAACAGATGTTGCGACAGTGCATGTTTGTTGGAAAATGACCTTGAGATGAACAGGGACTATTCTGGCAAACACTGCGTAAATGATCAAACGATACCGGCATGATGCCCGACAATAAATATACCACATAAATTATAACATAATCTTTAGGGATGTTGTATAGTGGGGCAAGGTTATGCTGTTAAAATTTTTGGGGTTGGGTTTGTGATTGGTTGGTGTTTTGATTTATGGATTATTGTTTGATTAATATTGCTTATGTAAATTTAGGCGGGCAATTTTTCAACAAGACAAGTCTTGTTGAAAAATTGGAGTTGTATTTGGATTTGGGTTTATGGTTGATTGTTATGATTGGTTTTGGGTTTGGGTTTATGTGGTTAGTTTTGATGATTTTTTTGTGAAATGTTGTGTATGTTGTGTGTATGTTGGGGGATGTGAGGGTTCAGGGTTCAGGGTTGGAAGATGGGCAAGGCCCATTCTAACTCTAATATATAGGCCACTAGTCCCAAAGATGAACATTTTCCCTCTCTGTGCCAGAAGTGCGAGTAAGACAAGCAAAGAAGCGTGCCTATTTATTTTTGAGTGTTTGTGTCGCATGTTGGTACCGATGGCCCTTTGAGCCAGTGGGCTTTTGCCTGCCTGCCGACCTGTGCTTGGTGGGCCCTTTTTCTGGTCAAAGTGTGACCGGGGCAAGGCCATGGTTCCGGTCGAACATCGGCGGAACCCAAAGAGGCCCAAATGGTGCTACATGAGTGTCTCAATGAGAAAAGGACTTGGAGCCCGGAGAGCCACTGGGGAGGTGGTCAAAGATCTTGTGAAAGCTTTCGAGTTTGCCTAACACAGGCACTTCCAGTACTGGCAGCTGTTTGTTTGTTGATCTTTTGTCCGCAAGGGAGCGGCCTGGAGCATTTGGGGCGCGGTCCGGCATCCAAGCACACGTGATCGGCCTGTTCAGCGTCCCCTTGAACGAACCTCAGGATGGTGGAAACGGGATTCCATGTGCGAGTCCTTTTCGGCCTCGACAGTGACAGCCCCAAATCGCTGCAGGCGCCAGGCATAAGAGCTCCAGGCCAACGGTGTTCGCACCTACGGTGCGCATCCAATGATGGAAAGGAGGCGTGGAAGGAAGTCTGGTGAGTCTGGTTGTTCTCATCCACTGCTCCTACATCAGTGGATGCTGATCGATCCGGGGGATGTCCTGAAGGTGTGAGGCATCTTCACATCCACTTGAGCTGGTTCACCTAAGGGCACACGCTGAGTGGCAGTCTATCCTGCCCTCCCTTCCAGATCGTCGTCAGGTGTCCCTCAGGGAGTTCCTGCTGCAGCTGCCCCCGTATCGCCGCCGAAAGGTGCAACTAGAGGGGTCGGATCTTCCAATGAAGATTCGGAACTTGAATGCTTTGGGAATCTTTGATGTTGTGACTCGAAGGTGTTGGCTCACTTTTGATCCTTTGCGACGGATGACTTCGCATGACTTCGCCATTGTTCGGCATTTTTAGCAATCACTAGCAGCATCCACGGCAGGGCGGTGGACCAAGAGATGGACCAGATGGAGCATGCCATGCATGAGACGGTTCAACCTTGATGAAATATGGGCTTCATGCGACTGGATTCCCATATTCAATTCTAAAACAGCAGGTGAGGGCCTAAGCGCTCTGACCCGCACTGAGCCCTTGAGCGCTTGTTCACCCCCATGTGAGCTGATGCGAGCGGTACCAGCGGTGGCAGCGCAGTGGTTAGTGGTGGCAGCTGCCCAGCCGATACATCAAGAAAGCATCTCGCCTGTGCTTGTACCTGTGTTGCGGGGGTCGAGTTGGTGGTCCTGTCAGGCATCGACATCGACGGCTTATACAAACATTCAACAAACGCTTGTTTCTTGTTTAATGTTGTGATGCTGTTTCCTGCATTTCCATGATGGTTACAAAGTCACCAGGGCACAAAAGGACCCGATCAGTAGACGAGCTCGTAGTCGTGCATGCGATTCCTTTGCCAAGCCATTGGTTTGTTGGTCCGAGGTCTTTCTCTTCAGAACGACTTCTGGTTCAATCACCTTCGTGGCATTGCTCCGGCACATGATCATGTGAGTTATGTGGGGGCTTTGAGCCAACGAGCTGGGAGCTTTGATGCTCTGCCCATTGCTGACTTCTACCTGCTGATGGTCTACAGCTTCTTGGCTTTGCACAAGCTCCAAGCCCAAGATTTTCCGGTCCTTCTTGTGGAGAGTCTAAGAGCTCACGTTCCAGTTTCATGGGAGGTTGGAACATAATGGAACCTGTCCTTGGATGGTCCTTGGCTTTCCTTTTTCCAACATCGGATGTTAATCCTTTGGGGTCCACGACCTTGGACCAGTTCTTGGACTTGTCCATGTGACGCCACCAGAGCTGTCGCATCTCCTCGGCGTCACGGTCCAGGCCCCTGGTGGCAGCACTGCCGTCGTGCGGTGGTGGAATTCAATCGCCTCGCAGCGGTGCTGCGACCGGCAGATTTACGGCCTCTGCTGATGGACTGCACCAGGCGTGGCGTAGCGTGGCGTAGCATAGGGAAGTGAGGACATACACCGACTGTCTTCGTGTTTTTGTTGTGTTTTCCAATGCTTTCCCTTCCCTCATGTGTGAGGGTGAGGTCTAGATAGAATTCCGTGAAGATTTTTGAGATCAAATTATCTGTATGATCTGCATCCATGATACTGTACACGGCCGTTTGTGGTCCACTTTTGCGATGGATCTCCATGATTCATGTGCGATCGTGGTGCTCTTGCCATGCGCACGTGCGAGGCCGGTGAATGAGAAGATGTGCAGCCGATTTCTGGGTGACCCACGACGGCCTTTGTGCCTGGGCCGTCCCAGGTGCTGAAAAGCTTTACAACACTTCGGTGGTAGCTTCACATGAGGCGTGCTTTGATCAATGTCATGTCTTCGGGAAACATCGAGCCCCCTTTTTGGAACCTGCTGTGTATGACGTGGATGACGAGCTGAGTGAAGTGTCCTCATGAGTTCATGTCATTGGATTCAACATCTTGGAACTGCGGACATCTGCAGCAAGCGTCAACAAGCCACAACAAGCCCCAAGGCCACTTTGGACAGCTGGCGTTGATGCTCACCCTGTATACGTCTCACTCTCTGACCCTTGGCCTGCTGCTGCTATGCCTCTTCTGGTGGTGGGATCTCATGAGGACTCTTTGCCCATGTTTCATGGCCAGGATTGCTGGTTGGTAGTCAACTTCAGAGGTCGATCCAGAGGTTTAGGGCCTAGAGTCTAGAGCCAGGGAAGCCACGGCGAAGCGTCTCGCTCCCCAACCATCCGCGCTCTATACGTGTGACCTTGGTTTCCCCATCAATGGCCGTGACCGATGGGAGGTGGACGGTGGATTTATTTTGGATGGAGCAAGTAGCCAACCAGTCCAACCAGTTCAACCAGTTCTGCAGGAGTTCCTCTCCAAGGACAACTTCGTGCGCGCGAGGCTGGCAGTGGCCAGACTGCTTCCTGGGGAGATCACGGCGGAGACGATGCTGCGCTGGGTGCAGCGTGCACGGCCTGAAGCTCTAGGCCGGCTGGCACGGGGATGATGTCAGAAGAAATCTTACAGTGATCTGTAGTAGCTTGCTACAGGTTTGGCTCTTGGCAAGATTGTGGAAAACAATAATACAATCATGATTCAACATGATTCAGCTGCTTTCTTACTCACCCCAGGCGGGTCTTGTATAGTAGGTCTTGCTTCTCAGGACCTCTCACCAAAAGCCTTCCAACAGCACGACCGCCTTGGGCCACTTTCGGAAATACTTCGAGGACCCAGGCGCCGGGGATCTTTCTTCCGGGTCCGAACGGCAGTTCCGAAGACATCAATCTGGTTTTTTGGAATGGAAAACCACCCCAGCTGGGTTCAAACGGTTGGAACGGATGAAAGCAGGCGGAGAAGGCGGATCTGGATGACTTGGACGGCTGGGATCGATTCCAGGACTTCCAGCGGGTCCGTATTCGTCTCTAGGAGAATTGGAAAGGGTGAAGCATTACCTCAAACAACTTACTGCACATTTTTTGTAGATAAGATAGGTAGTGATTGGTGACCAGTGATCGCTCTGCTGCAAGATGTCTTGAGCCGGTGTGGTTTACACCGCCACCGTTGGATCTCGGAACCCGCCAGCTGTGGGTGCAGGAATCCGATGTCCGAGCAGGCCTAGCCTTGTGGCTCCACGAGATCTTTGAGAGGCAGGTCTTTGAGATCAAGGACGGCCCGATCTCTGAGGCCCTGAAAGAAGCGGAGAGGCTTTATGTGTGGAAGATGAGCTCCAAGTGGAGTGCCATCAGAGAGAACTGCAGTGAAATGGGCTGAAATCAGATGATTTTGAGATGAGCAAGTCATAGACGTAGCCCAGACGCTAGGAGTGATATGATATGCTTCAAGAACAAAGTTAAGAGACCCTGCCAGGAGGAAGATCATCGAGAAAGAAGGAGGAATGCATTGCTTACCTTTTTGGACTTGCTGTGCTCCTACTTCCCAGATCATCTACCAGGTCCATCCAAGAACCCGCGGGACTGTCGCGAGTCGCTTTGCCACTTGGGATGGTTGCTGCAGGATCAGAGCCTCAACCTGAGCTTCATTGGGAGGGGAGAAGGGAGTATGTGAAAGGGAAGGGGGAGAGGTCAATTTTGGCCGGTTTTCCCTCTTTGCTCTCATCACACATGCAAAATCCGAGAATGACGAAACAACACACGAAACGCATCGAAACGCGGAGTATGCCCTGCCAAAAGAAAGGGGTCCTCTGAGTCCTTCCTCTTCACAGAAGTACGCATACACGCTTGTGCCCTGTGGAGGCAAGTTGTATCAAGTTTTGGGTCTCCATGTCTACTGTAGTACGGTTCCTTTCAGCTGAACGAAGGGAAGCTGCACCACCCAAAGATGAAGGCCAACCATGGCGGCCATGGCCAGCCCACCTTTGTTCATACTTGAGTGAAGGCTGGATGCTGGATCCCCTTCAATCACCAGACCTGCCCGAAGGGGATTTTCTCTATACTCTCGACTAGTGACAAAGGAGTTGTAAAACGTATGGTGGGTTTTACAACTCCTTTGTCATGGGTCTTAAAGCATTTTTGAGCAATGTACACAACTCCTATGTCATGGACTTTAAAGTAGAGAAACACATCAAAACATGGTCACACAAGAATAGCTTTAAAAAAAGAAAACAGAAAGCCGCCGGAAAAGATGAATAAATGCCGTGAGATAGGAGTTGTAAGTACCAGGAGGCATGATGAAACATGATGAGCAGGCCGATTCTTATGTCATTTGTTCTGTGTGCATCAATTCCCCTCCCTCCCTGAAAAACTATAAAATGCTTGATCATCAGCTGGCGACAATTCCCAAGTCATGAGGCTTGAATCAGCAACTCTGCAATTTTTGTGTTCACAATGACTTAGGAGTAGTGGGCCACAACTACTATGTCACTGGCCCACACAAGTCCTAAGTCACCGGTCGGTAGTATATTTATATACACTGTAACTCTCTATTTGAACATCTCGATTCGGAGCACCTTTCACAAGTCTTACATATTCTTACAACATTTGTTTCTGGGATTTTGGAGGGCAAACCTGCCAGACCACCTTCCTTCCATCGCTGGGGCGGCTGCCACATCTGCTCCCAGGAAGTTTTGGTCGTCCCACATAGAGAACATCGAAGTGGCCGTGCAGGAGGCTCCACCTGAGGGTCGCCCAGGAGAAGCCTCTGGGTCGACGGGATGGCGAAGATGGGTGCTGGACCAGGCCACCAGCTTCGACTGATTGAAGCATACCTTGGAAGCCTTGGAATGATTGAGGCTAAGAAGGGGTGGGGAAGAGACCACCATGTGCACTTCCGGGCATGGGGGGCTCACCGTTTTTGGTTGTATCCGGAGGCACCGGAGGCCCCCCAACTGCCAGCGCACGAGCTCCTGGTGGCAGGAGATGAACCCCAAAAGCCCGCGGAGTTGAAGCCGAGCACGCGGCGCTTTCAGAGGCTCCGGTGGGAGAAGCTGGAACACCACTGGCAGTTGTGTGGTGAACCATGGCCAGAGCTGGCAGCCAGAGGCTGGGCTTGAGTTTTTCTTTGACTTTGGGTGAGGTGTTGCATCTTTTGAATGTCAGGTTGCATCATATATCACAAATCGTGATCATCGTTTGCCCGAACCACGGCTTTTTGCTGGCTGAAAGGGTATGGTCATGTCACAAGTTCACAGGTCAGACCATCTCAACCAACTGCTCCACTTGGTCCTTTTGAGCCACCCCGCCCTGTTTGGAGCAAACAATCCAACACACATCTACAAGAAGGATCTTGCAACAACTTCGTGCAGACTCCCGGGATTCCCACTCCATCCCACCGCCCTTTGTTCGGACGCGTGGACGTGCCCGGGTTCCGGGCGGACTGACCCGGTTGGGACCCGGGTAGGCTTCAGCCGCTGCCGCTCGAAGGATCCCTTAGCCTCAGGGCGGCGGGGCTGCAATTCTGGCTGTGGGTTGCAAGGTTGATGTTACATCGGCGCAATGTAAGCAGAACGGAACGTGCGCATGGAGTCATGGAAAGAGAAAAACTATGGACAACTGGAGATGAAGTTCCGAAAAGTGGGTGGAACAACATCAGTTGCGAATAGATTACTGTGACTTCTGATATTTCTACCCTGTAACTCACGTTCCTTCGTTGAAACTCAGTTCATTTGTTTGCCCCCCTCCCCACGCCACGAGTTTCCGGTGGGTTTCCCCCCTTTCTGCACGTGTCACCCTGGGGTGCTCACGATTAGACCGAGGTTACCCTGTGGAGTTTGGGGTTTGATGCACTCGGTGCTCACGGAGATCGCCGAGCTGCGCCAGTGCACCATGGCCCATGCCGAGCGCCTTGGTGCCGGGGGGGGGGACCGAGAGGTGGGGTTTGAAAGACGTTACTGGAAGTTTCTGACTGTCCGTGAACTTTCTGTGACGACATTGTCATTTAGCTAATGTTACGCGACTTACTTGAGTCTTCTCTTTTGTTGATGTGTTGTTTTAAGCTACTGTAACACTGTAATTGACTTCAAAAAACGTCTTCTTGGAGCGATGGGCGCTTTTTGAGCTGAGGAATCCGGATGATTGCATCGGCCCACCCAAGAACACCACGGCCAAAGAGCTGCGGACCTTCATGAAAGAGGACCATTTGGACATCGCGGCGCGCTCTTTTCGCGGTGGTGGTGCGGTCGGGCACAGCATCGAACGATATGGTTCGGTGATGGCACGGGAAGATGTTTCTATCTTTTTTGTTGTTGTTTGATTCCTCATTTGTTGTTGACATCAGATCCAGGGCCAGGATCGCAAAACATGGATTGCCGTAGCAACGACTTTGGCCCGAGCTGGGTTCATCGACCGAAGACACGTGGGATCTCGTCGAGTCGAGTGGATCTGACGAGGAGGCACAAAACATGAAGGTCTTGGAGGCGGAACAGCGCCGGGAGTTTCTGGATGAAGAGTGGGGCAACCCCAGAGGGGCAGCTGGGGGGGCCTTTCGAGGCTCGGTGGACCTTTTGAACCTATGAAGCGCGATTCTTGCAGAAAGTATGTAGATATTGTAGATATTTTGTAGATCATCTACAGGGCCTTGGGAGTCAAGAGAATATATTTGTGGTCCATCTGGTCATACAAGTCTTCCGAGGCATGCGAAGAAGCCCGTCCACGAGCTCAGTCTTCTTGAGTGCTCCTCATTTCATAGACCATGGATTGATGAAAATGATTGAACATGCCTCGATGCTGTGGGGTCAACCCACCACCGATTCAACTGTGGTTCTTTGAGGTCATCAGATAGGGCATCATTTTTCTTGCTTTGCCTCAGCGTTGCCATTTTCGAGAGTTCGTTTAGGCTTTTCTTGTCACAACTGCAGAGGAAACAGAGGATTTTCTGTCAGGCTAGTAATGCCCCACCCATGGTCATGCTGTACGGGACAACCTCCAGTTGCACCCCAGCTGCTCAGCTTCTCAGCTTCCCAGCTGTTCAGCTTCCTTGCGCATGTCCTGCCGCTTGTGCCTGGATCCTGACTCCGATGAGAGAGCCTTGTTGGCTCCATGCGCCTGCCGTGGCTCCTCGGCGCATGTACACGCAGACTGCTTGTTGCAATGGTGCGAGCGCATCAGTGACTACAAGACCTGTGACGTATGTCATCAGAAACTTGGATGCAAGTTCTGATGCAGCAACCTCATTACGCCTTGGCTCTCGAACGTGGATGTCCCCCGAGAGTGGAGAGTAGAGACGAACAAGCTATGGATTTGCACTGTGGGCAGGGCGACTCAAAATGAGGTGATTTTGAGCCAAGCTGTTTTGCAGACACGAGGTGGCTGTCCAAAGATCATGGGCCGGAAGCCCTGTGAACCCCTCCTCATCTCAACCTGATTGTCTTTTTCTGCTGTTTGCGAATTCCTCACCGCTTACCAGCGGAGGGGTATTTATTTTTGGGATTTTTTTTGTTTCTTTTTTGGATTTTTTTTGTTTTTCGTGGCTTCTGGCTTCTGGCTTCTGTGGCTTCTGGCTTTTGTCGCTTTTGGCTTCTGTGGCTTCTGGCTTTTGTGGCTTTCGTGGCTTTCGTGGCTTCTGTGGCTTTTGGCTTTTTGGCCTATCCATCTATCTGTCTATACCTATATCTATTTATCTATCTATCTATCTTTCTTTCTTTTGGCAGCTGTTCTCCTTTCTCTTTTTGTATTTGCTTTTCCTGTTGTTTTCGTTGCAGAGACGAAACCAAACAAGGAAGCAAGCAAGCAAGCAAGCACGAGCTGCTCACCTTTGGATCTGGTGTGCTGCTGGGGGGGGGGCGCTGCGCCCCCCCCGCGCCACGAAATCTGCACTTCATCCCCGACACCCGCGCCTGCCACGAAATCAATATTTTAAGGTGAACTCCCCGGTGCAAAAAACTTTCTAACCAAGCAAATATGCCTCCTCTATCTATCTATCTATCTATCAATCTTATCTAATCTAATCTAATCTAATCTAATCTAATCTAATCTATCTATCTATTTATCTTTCTATCTTTCTATCTTTCTGCAGTTCAACATCCACAAAGTACTGCACCTGCCACGAATCTGCACTTCAAGGTCCACAAAGTCTTGCGCCTGCCACGAAATCTGCACTCCAAGGCCCACAAAGTCCTGCACCTGCCACCAACTCGACTCTTACACTTCCACACCCACAAAGTCCTGCATCTGCCGCGAAATCTGCACTTCAAGGTCCACAAAGTCCTGCGCCTGCCACAAAATCTGCACTCCAAGGCCCACAAAGTACTACACCTGCCACGAAATCTGCACTTCAAGGCCCACAAAAAGTCCTGCGCCTGCCACAAACTCTGCACTCCAAGGCCCACAAAGTCCTGCACCTGCCACGAAATGTGCTTTGCAAGGTCCACAAAGTACTGCACCTGCCACGAAACACGAAAAACAAAAAAAATTCCAAAAAAAACGAAAAAAATTACAGAAATATATTCGCAACCCTTACCAGCTAACTCAGACAAACTCATACAAACTTCTTAGAGACTCACGCGACAAAACCCATATGATAAGTAAATGATAACACCTCTTGAAATCCCATCTACACTCTACATCCATCTATCTGTATATGTATATACATATACTAGTTATTATATGCAAGTATGTATATATATATATACATATACTACGGACATCGCGGTCGTCACCCGAATCGCCTCTGCTGTTGCCGTCGCCTGCCTTTTTCAGGCCCTTCGTGGGCCCAGCGGCTCTGCTGGTGGCCCGGCACCGCTTTCGCCGCGCGGAGGGGCTCAGTGAAGAGTCCCAGGAAGCCTTGGAGGCCACGTACCAGGCCGGGTAGGTGGGTGAAGCGGTTTTTCGACAGGTGGGAAAGCTCGATGAAGATGCACTGGTCAGATGATTCCCTAACCTGCTGTAGGTTGATTTCATCACTGGTGTGTTCCAAAGGCACAGGTGGGGCCATGTGACAGTATTTTTTGGCGAATCTTGCAAGCAGGCTCTGGGGATGCATCTGTTGTGCCTACATGTATGAGCAGCACGGGCCTGGACCCCTTCTGCTGGAGTTGAAAGGACATGATTTTTTTGGGTCTCTCTCATGTTGAGCGACACGTCCAGGTAGCCCAAGCCATGGCTGCGGAGGGCCAGCACCGCGAGGCAGTGAAGCAACTGGACTGCAGGATCTGATGGTTGCCGGGAGTGTTGGGTGGAAGTTGGGTAGGAGTTTGGCAGCCTGCTGCGTCCAAAAGTCCTTGTGGAAGTGGTCAACCTCTTCATGTGCTTGACTGCCTGGGCATCCCAAAAAGCATTACTATCAGGACCAAAACAAATCATCATCAGGATATCAAGGAACGAAGACAACAGAAAGGGCAGACCTCTGGCTGAGCTTCTTTTTGGACGTTTTACAGATATTCTTTCTTCCTGCGCACGTCTGCAGGCTCTTTGCCTATCTGCACAAGATCTACCAACGGAAGAAAGGCGACACGCACTTGGATACTCTGGCGGTGGCCAGTGCGCGAGCGCTTTCGCTCCATGCCCTTGGGTCTCACGCGGACGCTGCGGAACTCCAGGACTCCCAAGGGATGTGAGGATTTGATACCGGAGGATTCTCCTGAGTTGTTGGAAACCACTGCGCTGCCTTTTTTTTCTTTTCATGGCTGTGCTTCTTTTGGCACGGGATGTCTTTGTGAGTCTTGGCATGCTGGGCCTTGTTTTTTTTTTGCCCCGGCGGCGGGCGTAGGCGCATGCGGGCGCTCCGTGCTAGGAGACCACGCTGGTGACCTTGCAGGAGAAGGTGGGGCTATCGCACCCGCGCACGGTGACTGAGAGCTTCAGCTGCAGCTGGTTCGCGGGGACGGGTCCACCTTTTTTCGTTTTTTTTGAAACCACCTTCTGGACCTCAAGGGTGGGTTGATGGTTCAAATTGGCGTTGCAATGGGCAGACTTGCGAAAGAATCAGTTTGCTCTTTTCGGAGGTGAGGCGATCTTAAGATGTTTTTTAGACTTCTTGAAGCGACAAGGAACTGCATGCCGAGGGGCTGGGCACCTGGCACATGGCGCACCATGTAACACGATGTAACACGGAGGTGAGGGGTGGGGGGATACCGTTTGACCCGGACAATGCGAGTTGTTGACCGGATGGTAACAGACAGTACACGTCCCTCGACTCCCTCGACTCCCTCGGTTTTCGGCGCATCTCGCGCTGTGAGGTCCAACAATCTCGCGCTGACCCTGACCTCCTTGGGTCGTCATGACGAAGCCGTGCCGCTGCTGCGGATGACGCTGGATGCACGGGAGCTGCAGAATGGGCTGCAAACGACGGAGTGGATCACCGTGGCCCGGCCTGGAGCCACGCATTGGGCGGTGTAGGACCTACACCCACCTGTGAACCTTTGAAAGAATGGCCTCAGAGCCATTTGGCTGATGTAACTGCAAGATTGTGAAGAATTGAGGATCACATGTGTCAGGTTTCAGTGACCGCAACTATTCCCCGATGGAGGGTTGGATGTTCAGTACATAGCCCACTGAGCCCACGAGAGTATGACCAGGTGGGTGTGTTGGACTGAATTCATGATATTTATGGATTGCTATTTCTGCCACAAGGCAGTTACAATCTTTTACACAATCGGCCATGGAACTTGGGTGTTTTTGACCAGCTCACCTGGCATCATTTGGCATATGTTGCTTGCAGGATTGCACATGAGTCCCCCGGCTACTGGTACCGCGGTTCTCAATAGGACCACGGAGTTGGCATCACTAATCCCAATGTTTTGATCTGCCCCATTAGAGGGGCCGGATCCGCTTGCTTTTCAACCCTTTGTCCGTGAAAAACGCCGCACCTTTTGAGTCTTTGGAGCGCGCCCGTTGGGCACTTTTTTGCACGCCGCTCGCCATGGCTGTCCGAGGCCGCCAACAACTTGGCGGGCGGCCTCAGCAAAGTTGGAGACCTGGAGGAGGCCTCGGAGGCGAGACGCAGAACTGGTGCGACCGGAGGGAGGGAGGACCGTGGCGAGGACTTCTGAGGGGTTGAAGAGAGGAACTCACGCGGCAACTGGGTAAGGTCCCACCAATGACATGAACAGCTTAAACATTGGGGTCCCTGGCATTTTTTGGATTCTCTCGAAGGCCTTTCAAGATCGATGGGTCGCACCTTGTCAACATGGCTGTGAGAAGAAAACCTGCAGCCCCAAACCCCAGTAGGTTGACCTCCCATGCAGTCTATTCTGTTCATTTTCAGGGATCAACCATGTGCCCGGCTTTGACCCACAGGCACCTGAAAATGGGTGGCCCTGGCTTCCGCGGGAGTTCCGTGCGGAACGACCTCAGGTCTTCCAGAAGGCGGTGGCCAGTAGCGGCCGATTGCTTGGTCAGGAGCACCCGCTGACCTTGAAAACGAAACGGAACCTCGTGGTTTCTCGGCTCAAGTCAATGTTGTGCTCCATTCATCAGCTGTAGTGGGGCCAAAACAGGCTTCCGCAACTGTTCTTTTTTAAAGCAGCACCAGCCATGTAAGCCATACAAAGTAAAGCCACACAAGATCAGCTGCAAATGGAAGCATTTCCCAAGTTTGCCAATGAGATTTGTGAAAGGGGTGACTCTGACCCTGAGCGGCACGCATTTCTATGTCCTAGGTCGTCCTTCACCAACGTGGACATTTGAAAGAGGCCAAAGACTTGCAGATCCAGTTGGTGTCAGTGATGGAAAGGAGCTCGACCACACCCGCAGAAGAGACAAGACTCTAGGCTGGCACAACTGGGTAAGTTTAGCAAGGCAACAGGTAGAAACCATACCATCCACATTCTCACGTTAGGCCATTCTGTTTTGCACGCTTGGCTTGCTTGGCTTCAGGAAAAGCTTCTGCCTTCCTGGACTTGCTTGAGAAAGCTTTGGCCAGAGGTCAGAAGAGAAAGAGCCTCGGGCAAGACGAACTAGGACCAGCAGTCTAGCCTCGAGTGTGGCTTATGGACTGTCAATCTACTAACCGTTATGAGTTATGAACCGATCAGGAAGCACAGAGACATGACGTTTTTGCCTCTGTGGGTTCGGAGTGCTGTGCTTGGCCCAAGGACCACGTCAAGTGCAGAAACCTTGACCGATGGGTCGTGTGGGAAAAGGGTGACGGATCGTTCGCACTGCGGCAACTGGGTGATTTCGTTTCGTTGTCGTTCACAAGGGGTACAGAACGCAGTCAGCGCTCGTTTGGGTCTTCGTTTGGGACTTCTAATCGGCATGGCTGGCTGCCCTTCTATTGTCATCTATCCGAATCTATCCATGTCACCTGGTTTCACCGATTGATCAAGGGGAGGGTGCGCCCCTTCATCAGGATGAAACCAGTCACTCCGAGGGCATTCCTATTAATGTATATGAACCTTGCACCACGAAAGAAAACCGTTTGTATTAGTCCTCAGGTCTTTGGTAGGCGTTGGTCATGCTCCCCCCCCTTGGGAAATTATTTGGGGGGTCGGGGTCACGTCTTGAAATACTTTTTTTTGAAATAACTTTTTCAACAATTATTTGACTGAGGTGGGGTGTGGGTGGGTCCAGAAATGCATTTCAACTTGAGGTGAAGGTGGGTCCAAATAATTTTGTGTATTCATGTATCTTTGCGCATGACGTTGCTGAAATTATTTGAGGGGTGGGGTGGGGGTCACAAGAATCTTGCTGTTGTTTTTTTTGGCTGCCTTGAATTTTTGTAACGGGGGGTGCTTCACCTCTCCAAATAATTAAGGGGGTCCCCCGTCAGGGACCCTCAAAATAATTCTTTATTATCTGGAGGTGGGTACCTCCCCGTCCCACCCTCAAGGGGACATGTTTCGTTGGTCCGTGAAAACGTGATGGTTGTGACTGCTCGGACGAACATGGTCGTGACCCACGACCCATCCCAATATTAGGATATATTAAGATGTGTTTGTAAACCCATGCCCTTTGGGGTTTGGAACTTTCCTTTGACTTTGACCAATGGGTTTGGTTTTTTGATCCATCCCCGACTTGCTGCACTCAGACTTTTGCTCCGGCGCCTGAGGTCCGCTTGCTCGCGCCGGGGGTGGGGGAGGGTTGGTGCTTGAAAACACAAGGTCATGTGCTCAGGGGGTCGGGGGAAAAGCATATGAGCAGCATTTTTTCAATCTTCTTCAAGAACAAGTTCTGTAACATGGAAACTGCGAGGGGGCTTTGGCAAACTTCTGCAGAATGGCTCATACGGTGGCGCTGGGGAAAGATGTCCGTATGTGTGAAAGCTACAGAAGGTGGGTTCCCAATGGCAGGGAGACAGCTCTCCTTTCGAAACCCGCGGGTGTCAATTGGACCTTGCGATCACCAAGTGACTTCTTCCAGTGGGCGACGCCGAGGACTCTATGCGGGCTACACCTCAGCTCCAGGAAACAATGTGACGGTCACTTGGTCGGAGATCTTTCTGGCCGAAGCAGGTGGAAAGCGTCCCCCTCACCATTGGATCCATTGGTCGATGTCATGGTCTTCCTTACCCACCATGGTTGGGTCACTGGTGGGTCAAAGCGCACGTGAACTCGCAGGGCATCACCATGTGTTTTGTTGTCATGTCACAATGATAATATTGCGAGGCGGTTCGAGACGTGTTTGTGTTTGCATGTGTTTGCAACCCTGATATCCTGGGCTTGGGGACGCTATTCTATTCTTGTGCGTAGTGGGTGCAGGGGATTTGACGCACATCCGCATGTGTTTGGGACAGGTTCCTTGGAAGTCTTTGAGCCAAATGCCGTCGATTGAGGCAGTGATGCGTCTCGAGGTGTTGAAAGGGGACGACAAGGCTGGGCAGGGGTGCTTATATGGGCAGATTTTTGGACGACACAACGGCCATCGCTAGGCTGTGCAAGGGTGCTTGACCTGAAATATACTATCCACTAGTGATTTGGGACTTGTGAAGTGACTGTGCAAATTTCAAAGTTCCATCTCATGTGTTTCCAAGTGTGTCCACAACTCCCATCTCATCATGCATCTACCATCAAAATCAAGAACACCAGAGGGTAGCCGAGCCTATCTCTTTGAAATGATGTATTCCAAAGGGGACACTGGTGAGAGGGGAATTGGGGGCACTTCCCCGCCCCCCCCCAAAAAACATTTTAAGGAGTATAACTCCTATCTCATGTGCTTTTGAATGGTTTCAGTCAACGTTTCGCGGACACATGTGCCAGGACTTGTGCAACAAACAACTTACCTCATAATTGGCACAACTCCTAACTCATGAGGGGGTAGTATAGCTGTGAGAAGCAGATGTTGTTTTGAAAGGTGGCTGGAAAGCTAATCAGCTTCGAAGGCGGCCTGGCTGCAAGAAAGCTCACCATGCAAAAGGCATGATGGATGGTATGCAGCTTTCCTGGGTTTCTTTGGCGAATTCCTGCAGCATTGCAGCGACACAACCGCCTGACGCATCTGGGATGTCATTGCTAAGGCAAAGAGGTTGACGAAATGGTTCAACTCTCAGTGTGGTGGTCAGGCTGGGAAGGCTCACCGAGAATGAGCCCATGTCTAAGGTGGAACTTCAGCTAGCAGATGACTTCATCCGGAAAGATGGAGGACTTGCACGTTCTCAATTCTTTTTTTTGGCCGGTGGACTTGCAGCCTTGCATGGAAGGATGCATCAGGTTTCACTCAAAGCAGGCACATTTGCTGGGACATGTCCTCCTTGGGTTTCGCCACTGGAAACTTTTCTGTGTCCTGCCTGCTGTCGATGTAGAGTTGCGGGCAGGTACTGGTAGGGTGCAAAGAAAGCCTAGATCTTCACGCTGAACACTCACATATCTCCCATGGCCTGAACCTGGAACTGGGTTTGTACAATTTCCCGACCAAAACCCACTGGTGAAGGATGCCCATGCACAGAAAACGTCATGCCCGCTTGGCGGGCATCGATGATTTCGGAAGCGCTCCCCCATATTGATACATTGAGACGAGTCTCCTTCATCCCCCACATATACTGTAAAAAATGCGTCACGCTGGACGCACATGGTTCAAGGCATGTGCGTTGAGGATTTAGAACGTGTTCCAAACATACACTCCCTAACTGTATAACATTCTGGAACTAGCATGGAAGTGGAAAATAGACTGTTGGAATCGAAGACCCTTTTCCCGGGGAGAGTAGGTAGTGAGAGAATCTCAAATTTGAGGTCGGTGATCTCGTTTCCACCTTTTGTTCTTGCTGACCTGGGCTCTGCAAGCTGCAGGTGCCCAGGTCTAGTCAACGAAAGGACCGAGCGGCCCAAGACACTCTGAATTTGAGACACAAGATGACCAGCTGGTGGTTGAAGCGATGTTCATTTTCAGCCATTGCTTATGCTGATTGGTCATTGGTCCCACTGACATCCACTGACTAATATGTTTCGAGAGAGTTGAAGCCTCCAACCAGCAAGAGGCTGACTTCGCTGGTGCCATCACCAACACAGGAAGAATCAGCCCATACCAGGGTGCAGGGCAAGATCGACAAGGCAAAGGCGTCAGGTCTTTCTCGGATTTCACCACTGATTCCTAGCAGACATCACTCCTCGATGAGGTCCACTGAGCTTTCTGGGCTTCTTTTGGGTACACAACACTTCTTGAGCCATCCCTGCTTGCCGCATCAGTAGAGCCCCTCACCGCCACGATCGTCTGACATGGATTGAAACCAGAACATCCTCCACCAGACTGCTGCGACGCCATGACGCCAGCGACGCCATGGTAACTGCTGCGGGTGTGGGGTTTGTCGGGCTGGGCCAAATGGGCTCAGGCACCGCGGCGGCACCGGCACCGATGATAGGGAAGACTGTTGCTCAATACGTCCGCCGATTGGATGCGCTCACTTGCGGACTAATAAGGGAACACTTTTACCCCTGAATTTGCATGTTGGAACCGAAGGCTCACTGGGGCACTAGTGGGCACTAGACCTCAAAGGTTCATTACCGTGATTGCTGTAGATTGGTTTGCACGGGTTTCTGAGGGAACTGAGGGGATTGAACGGCCACGAACTTAGCTCAGACATCTCAATACGGCCCCACACACTTTTCATGGGCTTGCATTCTGGACGACCTAGGTTGCCATTAAGAACTCCATTCAGTCCAGCTTGGTCGCTGTCGCCGACCCAGGTCCACTGAGCAGCACTCCCCCTAGTTGGACTTGTATATGCACCAAGACTATTCGCAAAATTGTCCTTAGGTGACCTAACAAGGAATTCCCTCGACTTACTTGGTGCCAAATGTGGTCTTTAGACTTCTGGGGTGTGTATAATATATATATATATATGATATATATATTTTTTGTATTTATTTTATTTTTTATGTTTCTAAAAACCCCATCCGCCCGAGCGAGTTTCAAGATGTTTCCACCCGCGGTGACGCCCCGAGGCATGGCAACCAACTTGATCGCGCATCTACGCCCCCAGGTGCCATGCCGGAGAGCGGGGGAAGGGAGGAGCCTTGGCAGTGGCTCACCGAAGAACTGAGACGGATTTCGCGAAAGGTACAGCGGAATCGGACAGATTTTATTTGCTTGCCGAACATCCTCAAGTTGACAACTGTCAACCTGTTTTTGGTTCAGCACCTTGAGCTGGACCCACCACAATATGTTTCTTGAGATGTGCTGGAATGAGCTCAGGTGCGTCCGTTCGTACCGGAACGATGCTGGTTGGTCCTCCACTTCGAGACATGAGCACGAAAGAGCACAGATCTCACACCAGCCAGATAGATGGGACCGAAGCAGATCCAATCACATCAAGTGTCAAGTACTCCTCTGCAGATGAACATGGGAACTCCAAACTCACTGGGTTGGGTATGAAGGTGGTCGAAACCACCGGGTCTCAGGTTGATCGTGGGATCGCCCCGTCAGGGCGCCCCCTTGGTGCTCTTCGACCTCTGCCGCGCGGCCTGCGAGCGCGTGGCGGCACCAGTCCGGGTCTCCCCGGCCGTGGTCGATGTGGCGTCCGGCGAACGTGGCAGCAGAGGGCGGGGCCAGTGGGTCAAGTGGGAAGCACTTGGCCGCGCTGGTAATTGTAGACTCATTGTAGACTCTTGATTCATTTCTACTTACCACGCCCACATTTGGGTTAGCAAAGCCTCTTTACATGCATGTTGTTTTCCCATCAATCCAGATTCTGCCTTAAGATGCGGAATGGAATCATTCATCATTCGAGGACAGTCCTGAACACCGGGCCATACAGCTTCATTTGGGACGTGGAAGGGAATGGCAAACCATGGTCCACGGTTGGTGGTGTTGTCAGCACATTCGCACATTTGATCGCGATCCAACCGCCCAAGACCAGATCGCTGGTCATGAGGCATGGAAGACCTGGCCGCCCAGTGCCAACTCATCCTCCTTTGCCTGCCGGACGGTGTCGCCGTGCGAGATGCCACTGAAGCCATGGCACCCCACCTGCAACCAGGAGAGGAGCTGGCGCCAATCGATCGACCAAACCCTACACCACAGTCACCAAAACAAGAGGCAAGCTCAAAAAAGGCACTCTCAGTTATAGTGACCTGTGCATCTTCCTTACAGGCCGGCAGTGTTGCCCCAACGGAGCTGTCGCCAGGATCTCTGGTGGTGGATCACAGCACGACCTCACCACAGGTGGCGCGCAACATGGAAGCGCTCCTTGGCCAACGAGGCGCGAGCGGTCAGGATTCGTCACATTGGCGCATGGCCGTGAGGGTTGGGGCGAGTCTTTTTCTAATCTGGCAGTGGGAGGGGTTTGATATGGTTTGATGATGATGGCGGAAGAACATCTTTTCAATTTTCTAGCCTTGTTGTAGAGGATTGAGTCTTCCAGGTGGACTTGTCCAGTCTTTTCTTGAAACCCAGCGCAAAAGAGCCGAGAGTGGCCAGGCAGACATCCTTTTAATCTTACCATTGGCCCATGAGAAAAGGACACACCTTCCCACCAACATGGACATCTGACACGGCCCACGGCTGGTGAGTGTTGCCGATCCTGGTCGTCGAAGTGGTCATCGTCGGTTGGAGGTGTCCGTTTCCTGGATGCACCGGTGACGGGTGCCCCTGCCCGGGCGCAAAAGGGCACCCTGACCGCCATGGAACTTGGGCTGAAGGGAGGAAGATGTCTTGGGTGGTGAGGAGGAAGGGCTTTGTGTGTCAAGACATGTTGGGACTATATAACTACCCTACTGGGCTTGCTGGGGGTCAAGGCATCCTGGTCCAGCTGGGTCTTCGGAGTGATTTTCTGTTCAACATGAGTTGGACGGGAAGGCGGGATGTTGGAAATTGGGGGGTTCTGATGTTCAGCCACGAGATCAGCCTCCCAGGGTCCCATAAGCAAACATGGAGACGAAGGTCTTTCGGGCGGAGAGCGGAAGTTCTTCTTTCCTCTTCTTTTGACCCCTTTCTTCCGAGAACCATCAAGGTGGGTGGATGCAAGCAGAACCTGGAAGAAGCCAGACCAGTCTTGGAAACCTTCACCTCGAAGATTGTGCATATGGGTGCCAGTGGCAACGGGCAGCTGGCCAAGGCCATGAACAATTGCCCGGAGTCCCAGAAGGGGGGCCATACTGCCTGCTCCACCCGCCGATGGAAGATCTCCACATGTCGACCATTGAACCACCCTGCACGGAACCGGTGAACCGGGGCACGGGGCGCCAGGGGACCCGGAAACAATGGGTTGAACAAGTGAGCTGGGCTTTGTGGTTCCCAGTTCTGAGGTCTATACAACATCAGCTGCGCTGCAACGGCTGAAATGCTTTCCTTCGCAGCCAAAGCCGAGCTGCCTTTGGAGGAATTCATGGAGGTTGTGAGTTCTGGCACGGGGCAGCGTGTTGGCTGAAGCCGTTCATGAAAACCATGGAGCTGGGCGAAATGGACTTGCAGCAGTAGAGATACGTAGTGCAATGTACTGCAAGCTCCAAGGATGCTAAGCAATGCGCCTCCCTAACGGTAACGACCAGAGAAGCATCACACGGCAAGGATGTGTCCAGGGAACCATGGCAACTGACGATCTCGGAGACGACCGAGGGGCTCCGCCGATTCCCGAGGTCGTTTGGCTTCGACCAGTGGGCCCCTCACATTTTGCAGCGCCACTTGGAGCTACCCCTCTCCCCCGTGGCGGCACTGGTTTGGCAGAACGTATGTAATTATGTACATGTGGGGCACAAAAATTGAGAACCGCACCTCTGGATGCATTCTTGCGAACCAATCTCAACAGCAATGAAAGAATTGGGGGGAGAAGATTATACGTGCTTACACAACCAGACTTGGAGGACCATTCCAGAAACAACGTGTGAACAACAGAACGGCTGTTTTGCTAAATTCTTCGCTGCGTCAACTCACCGTTTCTGATTTCTGGTATCACTCACTCACCCCTTGTGCAAAATGATCACTTTGGGTGTGTTGGGTGTGTCAGGTGTGCCCTTCAGTTCGACCCAGGCGGACCACCATTCTCGAGTCCTGGGGTCTCCCCATTGCAGCGGGCACAGATTTAAGGACAGCCCCACACCCACCACAGCTGAGCTTTGACATGGCTTGCCCGATTAGTGCGGGAACATGAAGAAAGTGTGCAAGTCAAGTCGTGAATGGTTTTCTTTTCCTGAGCTGTGAAGTACTGTAATACACTTCACTTATATAAAAGAAATCAGCTAGTCATCCGCCACAAATGTTAGGAACAACACAAACAGCTCTTATCAAATGCTACTACTAGGTTGCTTCATTCACTTCGTGTGTGTGTGTGGCTTAGATATCCTCTATTGGATGCCCGCGGTTGCGGCAAAGGCTCTTCAGTGAAATCGGCGAGTTGCAGGATGACATGCGTTTGAGGCCACTGCCAAGGGTCTTGGCAGGAGGAATTGCTTCGAACATGTAGAGAGAATGATGTGCGCAAAATTGAGCAGCTGCTTCAGACGCACAAGTGGAACCCCTTGGAAGTTGTGCGTTGCTGGAAGTTGGGGCAGACAAAGATGCACGAAAAGAAACGGTCTCACAGCCTATGCACACTGCGGCTTGGAATGAGCCAGAGCCGAGAAGAATTCTGCAGCACACACAGGCTCACCATCTTCATATACTGTAATATAGCGGTTGTCAATGACCACTTGGAGGTTGTGCGGATGTTGTTCGAAGCTGCACTGACAAAGAAGCAGCAAGAGACGATCGCATTTAGCGGCTTGGAGCACACGTTACGGCGTAGAACCCTGCAGGCAGCTTGTACTCTCCCTGAGGACTCTGCCTAGCGAGTGGCTTTGCGTGTCCTTAACCCGCGACAGGTTGGGACACTCGCAGCGCTACCCCCCCCTTTAGCGGCTTGGAAGGGCCACTTGGAAGTTGTGCGCCTGTTGCTCCAAAAGATGTGGAGATGGTTTACTTGACCGATGTTGAGCCAGGGCCAGATGCTGCTGACTAATGTTGCAAGGCCATGCAACTCCCCTGTAGATCTCTGTCGCCTATTTTGGCACATGATGCGGCATGTGGGGGTTTGCAGGTATGTCAGTTGAAGCTGGAAGCTCGAGCCACACACACAGACAGAAGTGGAGCCCATATTTCCCATTAACCCCCCCAAAATATCAAACAACGATGGGTCTAACCATGTCGAAGCGTCATCCTACTGGATAATTCTTGTGGTAATTCTTTTTCTCTCCAAAATGCCCCAGACCTTGGATCCCGAACCCACACCTGAGGCCAGTTCGAAGCGCCCAAGTATGGCTTTCCGATGGGCTCCGCCTTCAAGGACTTCGAGACGCTGAACGCGGCGGTGCTGCAGCAAGGCCCCGGTGCTTTCCGACCTTCGTTTCGGAGTGATCGTGGTTTTACGATCGGCCCGATGAGATCGTACGGACCGTGGGGGTGTCGCGGCTCGGGCCGGTGGTCCCGGTGGTGGTGTGAATCTCTTTTTTTGGGGGGAAGGGACCTGGGGTCAAACTGCAGGGAGAACTTGTTCAACCGAAGAAGGACCAGTCGATCGAGGTCAATGAAACCAGCGGCCAAAGGCGAATTCGGCACCTGTCCGGTCACCTTAGACTGCTTATAGACCGAAGTTGATGGTTCACGACCAATGGGATCTTGCATGATCTTGCGGGTCTCCACCACTTGTAAACAGGCCACGTTTGGACATCAAACCGTGGCCTCGGCTCGGGGCCTGGGTGATGCGGTGAATTTGCTTCAACATGCTTCACGGTGCCACCGGGGTCGAAGTGGAGTACTGGCCACCGACCGAGAACGTCAGTTTCCCCAAGTTGGATCCTTTCGGGGGCTGCTATATTGTGGCTGTGGGTCCAAATCGGGCAACCCTGGTTGACCATGCAACATGGACAGAATGGATTACTAAGGAGGTCAACCTACCAGAAAGAAACGTGCTCCTCACAGAGCCATATATCCTCACCGAGCGCCCCAACAGCCTCCAGGTTTGGATCTGCCTCCAGTGCTAGCGGCCGCCGAAGCCACGTACCGTGAAGCGCTGGCACAAGGCCTGGGAGATCAGCACAAAGGACCGGTACGTGGCGGTGATTCGACCGGTCCGAGGTCACCGGATGTTGGGATGCCTGGCTGTGACTCTTTTCTTATGTTTTCTTCCTTTTTTTCCTTCATGGAACGACGCATGGACATATGTGGTGTTTTGGTCCAGGAGGGGTATGAGGGCACAAGCGTTCTCCGTATCTATGCAATAGGAGCAATGGTGAAGGTCATGGAGCAGAAGATGGGCGTGAAATGCTCAGCGAAGAGCAGCTCAGAGTGATGCGATGTGGACAAAAAGGCGTGACAGTGTGACGGATTGAAGTGGCTGGACTTTATCAGTGAAGTTAGAGAGAAGGACATGAAGCTGGAGGACGGGTTGAAGTGAGGGTACTGTAATCCCAGGAGCTTTTTCCTTTTTGCCATGGTATGTGGTGGAGAGATGGAGAAACCATGTTATTTTACTGTTTTTATCCATGGGCATTTCTGCTTGAAGTATGGCCATTTTGGGAGACCCATTTCTTGGGAGAGCCGAAAAGGTCCCAAGGCCATTCCTTTCGGACCTTCGCCAGGAGCCATCATTGATCGCATCATCAAAGGCCCCAAGGCCATCGACGATTTGGAGTTTCAGCACCTGGGACGGGTGGACATGGGACAGTTCATGCGACGATTGTGAGTTCATCGGCATGTGGGGGCAACCCATGTGCAACACGTGCGAATGTTAGTAGCTTTTTCATGTTGACTCTTTCTGGATGTGGGATGTGGACCATTTTGACATGTGTGCAGATATTGGCGATTATTGTTGCGTAGGGCCAGACACATTCAGGTACAGTGCAGAGGATAACTTTTGAGGGTGGGCTTGGAGGCAACACCATTGTCCTTTGCTGACGGATCAGTGAGGGAATGTTTGTGCTTTGTTGGGCCAGCCCTGGAACCTTTGTGTCAACACTTGAAAGCATGGGATGCTTGGTTTCGTTGCCGCTTTTGGTCCTTCCGCTTCTTCTGGGCCAAGCAGTTGTTCGCAGTTTTTCTCGTCTCAACTTTCTGCTAAGGTTCTTTAAGTTGAGGACCGTGGAAGGCGGGATGTCTAGCGCTCGAAGTGCTCGTGAGTGCTCTCTGAGAACCGGACAAATTCATCGGTTCATGGCCTTTGGCACGTCGCTGACTATTGGCTGCCAGTTGGGACGATGATGACCTCAACTTTCGATTTTGGATTCATTCAATCCGTAGCCTTGAGGCTTCGGCTTCTATAATCTAACCCTGTGTGTTGTTTGTTCGCTGCGCAGGCTCACCAGTGCCCTCAAAAGCAGCGCCATGGCAGGCATGTTGAAACACCGGCCAGATGAACGCCCAACCACTCACAAGTTCTAGTAAGTAAGGAGACCAGAACACCATAGAAACCTTTTAAATTTTAAATTTAGATCCTTTTAGAACGCCAGTCATTATTCCTTTTCATGACTCCAGATCGTAGCAACCCAGGTATTTCTGTGCGTTCAGGGGCTGGGAAGTTGAATCCGCCGCCTTCCGTTGAACCGTCGACGCAAGGTGTTAACGGGTGTAGATGATCTGTAGATGCAGAGAGCTGTATTCGCATGCTTTGCTTTGATCGGTTCCTCGAGCTACCCACATTTTTCGGCTTGCCGTTGTGTTTGCTTGCGACAGGATATGCTGAAAGGCTCCTTCCTGGAGCTGCCCGAGTTGGTCTTTGAAGGCAGGGACGATGCGGGTGGTGGCTGAACACCTCATCGCTTCGGAAATCTGCTTTCCAAGTTGCAACTTTCGCAAGTACCACACACGTCCTGCAGCTCATTGCGGAACATCACCTGATTGGGTGACGCTGCGACCAGTGATGTTTGACCGCAGGGCCGCGGCCGTGCCTGGGGCGTCCGCCCAAGCAGCTGGGCGAAGGTTGAGGTGTTGTGCGTGTTAGACTATAGTGTACTATAGTGGGGGGGCTATACAGCCGAAGATGCCAAGTGTTCCAGCCTTGACGTGTATACAATATGTGTTCCATATTTGCACGACAAATGCATTCAACCGTAGGTGTTAGTCGATTCCCTATCATGATTCACCCCTGAGCAAGGATTTGTCGGCAGAAATGCTCGCGCTTCAAATTTGAGAAGGTCAAGGAGACTCACCGCCTAGACTTGCAGCCTTTGCAGTTGCTTGTCATGGATGACAGGGTACAAGTTACAGTGCAGTACAGTAGTCGTGAAGTAGATTGAAGAGTGAACTGAGTGAACATGTGGAAAGCCTTTAAATGGCAACATCTCATCGTGGGAATCATTCCCCAACACTGTCTCAAGCAACGGCCAGCAGAAGCCACAGGTGGAACAGCTGTGAAACAGTTAAGACAGAGTCAGAGACAGACAGACAGACAGACAGAGAGAGAGAGAGAGGGGCTAAGGCCACAATGCAACATGATCCAGATCTAGTTCAAGTTAAAGGATGGGTCACCATGATTGGTCTTCGTGCCGCATGATTCAGGCAATATTTCAAATTAAAAGATGAAGACCTCTCGTCATGGCACGATGCCGTCAGGACTTGGCTGAGGGAAACGTGACCTTGGGGTGCCTTGCACCGCACATGGCGTCGGGCCCGGGCCCTGGTCGGGTCCGGCTGTGCGCCGTCTGAGGAAGCTGGTGGATGTCTCCGATGCGCCCGACCAGTGTGCAGCAACCTTAGGGGTGAGCATGGTACGGCATGAAATGGCAAATGTTGTCCCCAAACTCTCAAGAATCCACTCATTCGTATCGTCGGCGGCTTAGTTGACCAACCCATTGGTAGGATCTTGTTACACCAAAGGGCCCTTCCATGCGATGTGCGAAGCTCGCTGAAGGATGTCTGAAACGCTGATGGAGTGCCAAACCATATCATTTTCAAACGAACCCGCTCGGCCAGATTGGGCGGCTCTATCGGAGGTCGTGGCCTCATGATGTTGCTTGATCCTGCTCATGTCGAAGCCAAGCAGCTGTAGTAGTCTGAAAGAGTTGCGGATCAAGGAAGTGGTTTTTCTGGAGCGAAGATCTTGGGAAGGGCCTTGTTCCATGTTCAGAGGTGGGAGACAAGATGAAACAGGAAGTCCGGAGAGAATGCATGGAAGGTTTGTGCTTGGTTGCGGGATGTTGCGGGTAATTCTGCTCCATAGGACGGTTGAAGACAAGTTCGGAAACATGTACTGTACAAGACTTTGTACAAAACATCGCAACGCTTACAGCTTCTCTGCATTGCCAGCTTGTGCTCCAGGCCAGCCTCTACCAGAATGTGGTCTTTGGCCCAGACAATGAGACTTTTTGCCCACAAGACCGAAGCCACAGGCAGGCGCCTCGGAGTGCATTAACCTCCGCGAATGCCCGAGTTTGCCACTTTTGAGGTGCTTGGATGTGGACTTCCGATTGCATTTCGAAGATTTCCCGCTCCTGGGCTACAAAACATCCGCCGGAGCTATGGTTGGTCAGTTCATTCTTTGGGGCACTCGATGCCAGGGTTAGCTAACGATGGCACGGCCAAGTATTGAAACCGGGCGACAGAAGTCTAGAATCCACGCATCCGTCATCCGCCCAACTGGTTCAGAACAACGGAACACTGGAAACGACGTCGGTCGGTGACGCAACAGCAATTTACAATAATTTACAATTTAGCCACACAGTTGCATTAGATCCATTTGGCGGCTCGTGTTCCTTTTCGCAGTTTTTGTGGCATTTCGTCGTTTTCCGTTGGGGACAAGATGGAAGACATAGGTGCAGTATGGTACAGTAAAGTACAGTAATTAAGTGCCTGGGACGCGGGGAATTTGGGAGACCTTCCCAGCTTTCAGTCTTCTTTCAATCCAAGCTTCTCAGTCAACACACCTCGCAGCTTTCGGGCTTACGCCGACATGGCAGGTTTGTGGCGGTGAAGGAGAACCGCGACATGCGCACCAAGAACTTCTCGCCGGCCGGCGCGTTGCAGATCTTTCAGCGGGCTGTGCAGCTCTTCTGGTGCCTCGGATCGGAGGAGACGAATTCGGGGGATCCCATTGGATGGCAGCCACTGATGGAAGCGCCGAGCGGTTGTTTTGGGTCATACCTTTGGAAACACTATTGACATGGACAATGCACCACCTTGTATGAGTGGCTGGTTCTTCAGTACACATCGCTGACCTTCGACCACTGGAGCTCAAGTTTGAGTTGTTAGGTCCTAGGGGTTGTTTATGGTTGTTTGTTGAGGCGGCTTTTCTGTATACAACACTGGGAAGCGGGTTGGAATATTCAAATTAAATCAACAAAACTGCAAAAAGTAATATGTCAAACCATCAAAGCTCACATGCGTGAGACATGTGCTAAAGAACATAAAGAACCCGCAGGCCCATAAGTTCCCATATTATGCGTTTAAGAAAACAAAGAACATGGTGAAACACCAATATGTGTTTTTTGTTCTTCTTGTGGGGTCTTCTCTCACGCGCTCCCTCCCAGGCGCTGTCACGAGTGCCGCGTACGTCGGGGGCGCCGAGTTGGTGTCCGGACGTGTTCGGCCAAGAAGAATCATCAGGATCTGCTGGATTTGCGAGGATCTGTGAAGAGATGTGCATGAGCAGAATCGAAGTAGTTCTTCACTTTGGGATACTTCATGGGAATGGTGGTTCACTCTGTATGCCCTTAGTCAGGTGCTATTAGGGGTCTAAGGGAGGGTTTTCGGGCGGGAAGTCTTGCTTGTAGGCTTTGAGGCCTACAAGCTGGACGAAGATGAGGCTTGGGGACGAGGGAGGTTCGATCCATGTGAGACAGTGATGGTGATATGGTGATATAGTTCTTATGGTGATATATTATTGGTGATATATGGTCATATGTGCCCAAACAAACCACCAGTTCATCGCCCGTTTCTGAGTTGATGAAGAACACTGGTCTTCGGATCCGATCACGTCCTTCGTGACGTAGCTTCTGTCCAGTCCGTTCACAGTTGGCAGTCGGGTGACCTCTAGACATGGTACCGGTTTCGCTATGCATGCATGGTTGGCAAAAGCGGAAGGTCACATATGAGTCATTGTTGTCACGTATGATGAGGGAGGATCTGCGCGGAGAGTCATTTCTTGCTTTGCAGGTGAAAGCACCCTGCCAAGCATCGCTGTGGCTTTGGAGTGTGCACAATGCCATCAACGGGAGGCTCCTCATCCCGTACTGATTGCAGTCAGTCACAGCCATACATATCCATACATGAGCCATCAGCATCAGACCAAGGAGGGAACAATCAATGCATCGCATTGCATCGCCAAGCTAGACCTCAGGGTTGGCTGCACCAAGCTGGTGATGAAGACATATTGTACTCGAGCTACATTGATTCCCCACTAAACACCCCACATGTTTTTGCATTACTTCACATGACACCTCCCATCACACCCCTCAACAGTCATTTTCTGTGAGCCCCTAGTATGTAACAGCATTCACTACATGTCCATCTATTTAGCTACGGTTCACTAAGGCATGTGAAACACATGCTTCGACCGTCGCTCTTGGCTCAAGGAAAAGGGTGCCTCCGTCACTCTTTTCTTTCAGGGTGCCGGGTTAGTTGACCTGTGGTCGGCCCTCCCTTTCGTTGCCTTCGTGCTTCCGCACTCTTTCGCACTTCGTTGCCCCTTCCGTTCGTTCGTTCGCCGTCGTGCCTTCGTCCGTCCGGCAACTCGCACTTTCGCCACGGGAACTCGACCCTCCAACCGTCGGGTACTCGTTCCGGTCGATCGTGCCGCTAGGGATTTGGCATACCACTTCTACTTCCTCCCGGTAGATAGAATAAGTTGGGCCATCCCTTATCTTCCCAATAATTTGTGGATTCAATTGGTTATCAGCCGTATCGCGCAAGATACGGAAAGGCCCCTTGATCCCATCGCAGCACGTTTCACGCTGCTTCGACGCCCTGGGATGGGCAGGATCAATCCTGCGCCGCAGGATCCGGACGTTGCTTCGTCCAGCACGGCTGCCGCCGCAGCCGCGACGTCCGAAGGTCCCCAAGACCAAGAGGCCGCTGCCTCCCTTGGGGACGTGGCTGGAACCGCGCATAGCGCGGAAGCCACGGGCCAAGAACTCGAGGAAGGTTCAGCCGAACCTCCTCTTGTTCCCCCGTGTCGCAACGGGTGTTTCGTCATCTCAACCTACCTTCACTCCACCCGGCTCCGAAACCGCCGGTGCGGAGGAGGCTGATGAAGTTGCGCCTGTTGACTCGCCAGCCACCGAGGTCCTTCCAGTCGAGACCAACACGCTTGAGTCGATAGTTCGACAAGAGCCTGAACTCAATATCCAAGCCCCTAAAGCCGAAGCAGAGCTCCAGACCGGAACCGCTGCTTCGCGCGGAGAGGTTTTGGAAGCTCAGGACGATTCGTTAGGCCACGCTAACGCCGACGAGCCGCCCTTCGATGTCTTTTCGTTGTTAGGCCCACCTAAGATAGAGCCCACCACTAAGGAGGAAGTAGAGGAGGAAGTGTATGCCGATCCCTCAACCTCTCCCGTGGGTCTACCCCCACTGCATACTCATAATCATCCGACGCAGTTCGAATCATTGGCCACTGATCCGGTCTTTGATGAAGCGGAGGTTGACTTTGGAGGCGAAGAGCCTGGCGACGACCTTGATGATCAGGCGGAGCCCACTCCCAAAGAAGAGCAACAGGAAGGGGACGAGGCTGACGACGAAACCGCGCCTAGCGCGGGGACATCACAAGCTGCTTCGGCGGCCATAGATCCTCAACCTAAGCGTACGCGCGGGGCGAGAGGAGGCCAGAAGCATCAATTCGAACAGTCCGACAAGAAGTATGCCCTCACGTGTGACCTCATCGCTAGTCACCTGGCATCGCATACCTATCGTCGGGTCGGTAAGACTTACCACTTACCGTTCGTGAAACCGCTGATTGCGCGGAGAGATTATTCTGAATGGTACAAGTACGTCGTGTTTCATGCCGACGCATGGGCTGAGTCCCCCGAAGAAGGTGACGTTTCCGACGGGGCACTCAAGGCCTGGGCAGCTATCATACCAGCATTTTGGTCATGGTGCACCCGTAATGCTCGAATGGTGTTAAACAACCCACCTATCGATTCCCGCCCGGGTACTATCAGAAGACCTATAAATTTATCCCACTCCGCCAGGTCCGCTCCTCAGCAGCGACTTCATCGCGGGCAGCGCCGTCTGCTCAGCAAGCCTTTCCGGTGACCGTCCCGGCGCGCACCTTCCAACCCGTAGTGGGTGCAAGCGCAGCCAGTTCGTCCGGAGGCTGGAGACCGCAGTTGAGGCCTGTTGATCATCCTGTGCAACCCCGATCCCAGACTCCACAAGGCACTCCAAGATCTAGGTCCCAGACCCGGACTTCAGAGTCAGTTCGACCTCCTCGTCCAACCAGGCCGTGTCCTAGGCCTAATCGTGAAACCGCTGAGCCACTCGCGGACACGGTACAGCCGACACGCACGGTCCATCTTGCCGACGACACTGAGCAGGCAGATGATCCTATGGATGGTGTTGGAACCGAGGAGGGAGCACCCGCTCCTGAAGCCGAGGCAGATCCAGGATATCCAGAAGGAGCGGAAGAGGAGGGCACAGTTCAACAGGACGACCAAGGCGGAACCGCGCTTGCGCGGGAGGGAGGAAGCTTTCGAGCCAGATCCCGTGGTCGAAGTTGAAGGTGATGATTTGGAGGCGGTTCGCACTCGTGCAGCTAACACCATAACCCGAGCCGTAAGGTCCGGTCGACTTGGACGTGCACTTGCAACTGCAACTCCCCCTAATCCACCACCTCTAGACCCCGAATATCTGAATACTCCTCATAGGCCTCAGAACTTACCACCACATGTTAAGCTTCGAAGGCCACCTCCACCGAAAGCAAGCACCCGGAGCCTACCCGTGCCTGCGCAGCCTCCAAAAGCCGACGCTCCGCAACCGGAGCCTAATCAGCCGAAGGTGGCACCGCAACCGCGTCAGCGCGGATTCGTTAGGCTCCAACATGCTGCCCGCGAACCGCCGGCACAGCCTATTCCGATGGACACAGCTCGTGACACTGTGTACGACTTGCCTGATCACGTATGGCGAACTCGTCCCACGAGGGAGCCTGGCGGTCTGACAGTGCCACAGCCTGAACTATTGGTGCATCCGAACACTGAGGTACACGCCATGGACGTGGACGACGAAGAAAGTCCACCCCGCCCAGCGGCCAAACCTCGAGCAACCGCCCCTTGGCGGCGAGCACCAACATATGCCCTTGAGGCCGAAGGAGGCCCCAGAAGCACCGGCTCCAAAGCCGCGTGCACCGGCAAATCCTCCTCCGCCGAAACGCACTCATGTCGTGTTTGCATCAACGTCACGAGTTGTGTTGAGGCCAGGTCCTGGCGCTCCGGAAGAAACCGCGCCCAGCGCGGAGCCATCATTTGCGGAGCATACACGGGGTACCGTCCCTCTGGTCGCCCAAAGAGTAGTAACCGGGTATGACTCTGGTGAACCTCCGGCCCAGTCTCCATCAAGAACGTCGGTAACCGTAACGCCACTAGTGGACCCAACTCATCATCGTACCCCTAATCGTAATTGGGCAGACCAATCGCTCGACGACGACCTGGACGATGAGCCAACGGATTCCGGGGCAGCCCCGTCCGGATCTTCAAGATCTAGGACACCGCCACCAAAGCCCATGGTGGTCAAGCCCCCCGCCGCAGTGCATCCGGGAAGACCCTTCTCAACGTAAACCACAATATGTTGAGTCAGGGCGGGTGGAAGAATTCTTTCCTCACGGATTCTTCACAACACCTCCTCCTGGACCTCCAAAACCTCCACCACCGCCACCACCGGCTCAGGTACCGAAACCCAAGCCGATGCCTGAACGACCACCGCGGTCTTCGAGCCCAGCTCCCGCAACCGTCGCCCAGGAGGCAACAGGCAGAGGTAGAGGTCAAGGGTATCCGCCGCCTCCCGCACCCTCCGCAACCGCGCCTCGCGCGGAGGAGGATCCTGCAGAGGCCGCACCAAGTGGCGGTAGCCTGGCGCCCGGGATCGCTATTTAGAGTTGTGGCAAAACGCCAATCACGTGTTTGGTCAGCAGATGTGTGACCCACTCACGTTAACGCCACCCGGTTTGCCCCAGGAGTTGGAAGTCGGCCTTGATTTCCATAAGGTTCTAGATGCAATGCTAGTCCCTGAGTTGGAGGTGCCGACTCGCCAATGCATTGACGCCCTCATCTCCCTTGAGCGTCTTGGTGCCAGGATCACCATTATATCGTTCACAGGGCACGAAGGCTATTTGCGTGCTGCCTCTCAGACGCAGCACTTCCGGGACTGCGTTCGCGCAGCGGGGCTCCGTATGGGCGGAGGGATATTTTTAACTAATAGTAAGGTTGGCCCTCAGGGCAAAACCCCAATAACCTCATCTAACGGCATCTGCGCATACGTAGATGATGACCCAGCCATTTGCAACGAGGCCAGACGCACCGGTTGCTACGTGTACCAATGCGATGCCTCGCGCCTTAACCAGCCGCATTCAGTCCTCCACGATCTCGCTAACATGATAAGATCAAGAGGTATCCATAACTGGAAGCTGGCACACCACCCTAAGGCACTGCAATCTGGCGAGTTCTCAGGCGAACCGAATCCGCACGGAGGAGGCCGCCGGAGGCCAAGGGTCAGATAACTGTCCTGCAAGCCAGTAACCGCTGCTTTGCGCGGTCACTTTTCGTTCGTAGGACTGTTAGTTAGGTTGAGTGCAATGAAACTTCAATCTCAATACCTTCAAGTCATTTTAGTTGAACTTTAGGTCATGCATCCAATTTTCTTTCAGTGCACTCGTTCTTCACCACGCAGCAGCTGCCACAAGGCGCTGGAGTGGTCTGGACTCTTCGTGTAGCGCGAAAATAACTGCACCTGCAGTTGGGTGGGAACCATGGCGAACCATACAGGGTTTTCCCCGCCTGACGATCCCCCAGGTGAACGGTCTAGGTCCTCCCCTGAAGAGGTCCCCGTAAGTCGTGGTAGAGGTCCTTCATCCAGCACCACTGCTCACGCAATGTCCGTCGTCACTCGCCTGAGGGGTTCGTCGCTCGCTGCACCACCGGTCACGCGTCCCAGGACTACGACCACGATGGAGTCTTCACCGTCCACTCCAGAGCAAAGGCCTGCCACTCGTCGAAGACGTTCCGGGTCGGGG